TAACCTGGCTTTTGACATGTTATAATCAACTGAATGCCCTGATGTAGGCGTGGGTTGGGTAAGGAAAAGGGAGCTGTCAGGGTTTTCTCCTAGCTTCTTTAGCAATAGTTGTATCTTCTCCATAGCTGCCCTTTTTGAGTAACTTTGACTCTTTCCTTTCATGATCAAGTGTGGAAGTGGTAGCAGCTTATTGCAACTGCTATATTTGAATTATTTCTATTTTTACTATTGTGTCCTTATTGATGTAACACCAAGCATTAACTAAATTATCATTCTACTTTTATCACATTCTACTTCTCCATTAATTTATAATGCAAATTATCTATTTATCCCTATGATAGGATTTCCACACTACATTGGCCATGACAAAGACCTACATAATACAAATTCAGTTTGCAGAGTGATGTTTATGATATTTGCAACATAAATAGCTGAATTATAACAAACTTTTTCAATGTGAGGCTGAAAGTGGTCAAAATACTTTTAGCAATTATGATACATTTTTTCAGTCATTTTGCCTTAGTATATAACATGCACCTTGTTCTTTACTTTTTAAAAAAATATATTTTTATTGATTTCAGGGAGGAAAGGAAAGAGAGGGAGAGATAGCAACATCAAGAATGAGAGAGAATGATTGATCAACTGCCTCCTGCACTCCCCATGCTAGGGATCAAGCCCACAATATGGGCATGTGCCCTGACTGGGAATCAAACCGTGACCTCCTGGTTCATAGGTTAATGCTCAACCACTGAGTCACACTGGCCAGGTTGGTTCTTTATTTTTTATATTGCCTTTACTTATACACTTCTAATCTTCTCTTTTGGGTTCAAACACCTGTCCTATTTCAAGTTAGTGGTGGTCACTTACTCCTTCAGAAAATTAGTCCTCTCATCAAATTACCTTAGAAGACCAGAAGGGATGTTCTGATTTTGTCTAATCATTTCTGAGGATGTTGATTCATTTACCCTGCTTGATGAATGACTCTGGAAAATTATTTTTTTCCTCTACAATACAGAGAACATAAACAGAAGAGCTGGGGGTAGGGGGCATGGCACAACAGAAACAATAACCATCATCATCATTTTAATGACTTAGTAAGCAATTCTAGAAAACACCGCTTATTTCAGACTTCTCCCTAAACTTTTATCCATCTCTTTTTTTAACCCCTCCCCACACACACACACCTTTGTTTTACTCTGTGGAGACCTGTACGCCTACTATCTAAAATAGCAATAGAAAGTCTTAAATCACATAGATAAAGGAACCTTTGGTAGATTTGTATATGCAATTTAGATAATAAGTTGTATTTTCCCAATGCATTCACTGAAATTTAGCAGCTTCTTTATTCTTTGTTGATGAAAAACTTAGAATTATTTGTAATGGGACATATTTTCTTCTCCTGGCTGGGCATGTTTCGGGTGAAATGAGGACTAACACAATAGTTGAATCTACTAGTACTTGATGGCTCACTGCTTAGTGAAGCCCTATGCAGTTCATTCCCTAAAATGAGCTGACATTTTTCCACTGGATAGCCACTAGGTGGCAGCAGCTATGTAAAAGCGCCAAAGCTTGTAATTAGCAAGTTGCGAAGTTGTATGGATTTGTTATTTGTTGGATTATTTTATTTTGTTTCTCTAGAAAAAAGTACAAAGATGAAAACTTGAATTAATTATAAAGAAGTAAAAAAATCTTTTTGTTGGATGTTTTCTGCTTTTGTGAGCAAGTGTGAAACTGCACAGCACTTAAAACAGGGAATTGCTCAGTCCTCCAGCTACCAGACTGTGAGGAAGCAAGAAAAAGGCAAATATCATCTCAGTAATTCTCAACAGACCAACTTTAGCTTAGGATTTAACACTTCAGTTCTCACATAATAAGGAAATTGGCAACCAAATCAATCCACTTTTCTTTTTTTGTACACAATGTTCTGTCTTGTTAGAGTCACCACATAGATTAAAGCACCTCCTACAATGTTCAAAATACTCTTAAACTGTTTGAGAACAATTTCAAAGCTAGCCCACATACTAATACTAAAGAAATTCACTCTAGTGAAATAGAACATATGAAAATATATTCAAAATGAAATTTGAAAAGACGAAAGTTTTTCTCATATATTTTTTGCATATAAATGCATATATCTTCTAAGTAAATGTAAACATAATCATAAACAAGATTCTAAAGCATAAGAATCATGCACAACAAATTTAGTTAAACCAAGTTGTGCTATAAATATCTGATGACTTTTTTCAGTACAAAACTATAATTAGTAAATAATGAAAGATATAATTTATTATAGGGGATATATTTTGTTTTATTTTTCTAAAGCAAAGTGGTTTGGAATTTGTTAAAATTATTTTGCTGTAAATCTGATTGAATATTTGGAATGCATGTGCACATGCTATCCGGGGTAGTGCTTAAAATGGACTAAACTTCTTTCTCCCAATTTATATATGGAGATGGACAAGAAACATAAAATGGGCATACTGATTGCACCACAATTTATCACAGAATATGTCATAAACAGTTTGTGGTTTGGTAAGATGATTTCTTACCAATGTGTTATATAGAATATATTCATCAGCATGATGCAATTGTGAGGACAATAATGGGGACGCTGAAAATGTGAGTTCTTGTCCAAGCCCTAAATAACCTTTGTTCATAGTTTGTTCTTCTGAAAAATAACTGTTCTATGGTAGGTCTTGTTTATGGAATCTAAGTAAAAATATTGAGATTTTGATGTGCCTGAGGTGAAGGTCAGTATTCTTGTTTTAATGAAATCTCCATGTAGAGGTAGAGTAGACTAAGCTTGGGCACCACAGCTAAGGCAATTTTCAGCACAAAAAATAGGATGTCTCTCGTCTGGGATTATACAGGTGAGTCAGATTGAGCTACATCCTTCATTCTTTAGGAGGGAAAAGGTAAAATATTGGCTACTTGCCCATTGTCCATGTGATATTTCATTGAGTTACGGTGGACTCCAATGTGTCCTTTAGCATTTCTGTCTCTATTATGCCTTCATTCTTTCCTCCTCATAAGAAGTATAACGGGCATGAGAGATGTAAAGAACAACAGAAAGAACTACTTTTTAGCTATAGCTGTATAAGTAAAATGTCAGTCTTTAATTTAGGTTTATATTAAATCATCTACAAGGCAAGCAGAGACAAAAACTGTCATTTCATTCATATATTTTAATTTCAAAAGATGTTTGTTACTAGAGGCCCAGTGCACAAAATTCTTACATGGGGGGGGGTCCCCTCAGCCCAGCCTGCACCCTCTCCAATCTGAGACCCCTCCAGGGATGTCTGACTGACGGTTTAGGCCAGGGGATCGGGCCTAAACCCGCAGTCAGACATCCCTCTCACAATTCTGAACTGCTGGCTCCTAATCGCTAACCTGCCTGCCAGCCAGGTTGCCCCCAACTGCTCCCTCCCTGCCGGCCTGGTCGCTCTTAACTGCCCTCCCCACCAGCCTGGTCACCCCTTACTTCCCTCCCTGCCAGCCTGGTCACCCCCAACATTCTCCCTCTGGTGGCCTGGTCACCCCCAACTGCCTCCCCGGCCAGCCTAGTCCCCCTTCACTGCCCCCCCCACCAGCCTAATCACCCACAACTGCCCCCTCTGCCAGCCTGGTTGCTCCCAACTGCCCCTCCCTTGCCCGCCTGATTGCCCCTCAGGGCACCGCTGCCAGCTTGGTCACCTCACACAGCCTACTGTTCAGTTGTTTGGTCATCCCTCACTAACTCCCCTGCCAGCCTGGTTGTAGGCAGCCATCTTGTGAGGGTTTCAGGGTTAATTTGCATATTACCACTTTATTATATAGGATATGAGAGTAGTTGAGATAACTCTGAAGTTCTTATGTACTTGCGTGAACCCATGGAGCAGAATTGCTTAGATTAAGAAAGGGGTGGTTACTTTAAAACTGTAGTTTTCATTAGCAGACAGATTTCAAATTGAGTAGCAAACCTTTTCATAAATTTAGCAAACAAAATTTATTAGAATAATTTAATTAAAATAAAAATACTCTTTGAGGTATTTGACATTAAAACATATTGCTATACCATTAAGAATGATGTTTTTAGTAAAATAATTGAGACAGAAAAAGAGAGAGGGGCACATTGGCGGAAGCTTTGGACTGGCCTGCAAGGAATAGTCATGGAAAAACAAGTGATTTTCCTGAAGACTGTGAAACCCACATGGGTGCTCAATACCTTGCACATATACCTTTTAATCTTTAATGAAGAGTGCAATATACTTGAGCAGCAGGAGATACTTTTGATATCTATGGTACTTAAGGCAAAGCTGAATTAGCATAGGTGTGCAGACCTATTGAGATGGAAACCTAACCCCAGTTAGACCAAACTCTGAAGAGAAATGAAAACGAAAATATTAAAACATTGTGAAAAAGTTTATTTCATTGCTTCATTCACATCCTTTTTTCCAATATAGATTTTTTAAAAACAGCAAAGATTAAAAAATGAAAGCACCTCAATAAAAAAAACATGGTAGTGTATGATTTACTCTAATGGACACAAAAGAACCTACTATACTTAGGCACTTAGTTTATAACCTGAAATAAAGGAGAGACATGGGAACACTCACTTGAGTTTTTAAGGTGTTTGGTGAAATTTAATTGTATATATCACTATATTGAGAGAGTCCTACAGTTGAAATCTTGTAAAACTCTAAAAATGTTCTCCAACAGATTTTTAAGAGTTCCAATTGAAAAGTCAAAACAGTATTAATGAACACAATGACTAAAAGGCTTAGGCGGTTACTTCAGGAATAACAGGTTCTTACTTCTGAGTAACAGGTGTATAACTCATTTATGCCTAAGGATGCTGACCAATCTCTAAGATTCTCAGTTGTAAGAGTAGAGAAAGATGTTAGCTGAACCAGTTCAAAGTTTTCAACAAAAATGGAGTAAATTGCAAACGTATATGAAGACAATGATTAAACATACATTTCTTCATTGATGTATATTGTATGAATAAATTTTGGTATAAGAAAATGTTTATGCCTGCTCAATGTACAGGCTTAGTGAATTTTTTTTTAAATGGGGAGAACACTTTAATAGAAATCTATAAACAATGATGCTCATTGTAGGCACCACAATCTTTTCTATACTGGTCTCTCTATAAGAGTATCCTGGAGTTCTTAAACTTGCAACTTTATGAATATAAAGAGAGAATTTGTTAAGAGAAAAGAAATTCACATTGTGTAACAAAAACTTCAAGCATTTTATCTCACATTATTTATTAGACAAAATATAAAATATATTCTCTGACTTTAGATACCAATCTCTACTACCAATTTATTAACCATAGCCAGCATAGTTAAATGGAGTTTTCCCTAATATTTCCTTATGATATGATTTAATTAGGATACTTTAAAAAAAATTCTTGATTTCAGAGAGGAAGGGAGAGGGAGAGAAAGAAACATCAGTGATGAGAGAAAATCACACATTCGCTGCCTCCTGCATGCACCACACTGGGGATCAAGTCTGCAACCTAGGGGTGTGCCCTGACTGGGAATTGAACCCATGACCTCCTGGTTCATAGGTCGATGCTCAATCACTGAGCCATGCCAGCCAGGCAAATTGGGATACTTTCTAAAATCCAAAATGCTGGGTTCTGCTACAGATCCAGTGAGTTAAAATCTTCATGGTAGTTGTCTGGAAAACTACATCTATATATATAAAAAGCCAGCGACCCGAAAGCCGTAATGACCGGAATGACCAGTCGCTATGACACCTACTGCAGCCAGCGAACCAACCCCATGGAGGGGAGTAGGCCAGGGGGCCAACCTCCTGTGGCCCCTCCCCCTGACTGCCCCGCCCCTTCGATCAGCCCACCCCACCCTGATCGACCCACCCTGATCGCCCCTGATAGACCTCCCCACCCCAATAGGGGGTGGAGATGGCTGGCCAACCTCCTGCAGCACTTCTCCCTGGCTGGCCCCACACACAATGGGCCCCCACCACCCTGATTGGCCTGCAGCTCCTCCCCCCAGCCAGCTCTGCCCCTGATTGACTCCCCCACTCTGATCAGGTGCAGGGCCAGTCGGCCAACCACCCATGGCCCCTCTCCCAGGCCGCTGGCCCCCAATCGACCCCCCAACCTCAATCGGCCCATTGTCCCTCCTCCAGCTGGCTCCACCCCCGGCAGCTGACCCCCAATCGGCTCCTGCTTCACAATCCGGGGCAGGGCCTGCTGGCCAATCGCCTGAAGCCACTCCCCCCAGCCGGCTGCCATCTCCTTCTCCCAACAGGTCCGGCACTGCTCCACCGCCACTGGGACCAGGCCAGCTGGACCCCACCTGTGCATGATTTCATGCACTGGGCCTCTAATATTTAATAAGAGTGTCAGGGAATATTTATCTTCAAAAAATTTGGAAAATACCAGCTAAGGGAATAATGGAAACAGTCTCCCATATTCTATGTTGTTTCTGTCATGCTCAGCCACTAGTAGGAATTCTTCCTAATTTGGGAAAACCAATATTGTATGTCAAATTTGTGGAATGCTATGTCTTGCTTCTACTTTGGAGGATCATGAGGAGCCCAGAGACTCTTTCACAAGTCTGCCTCTTCAAAAAATGCTGAGAAGACTGGAAGTCATCTATCTGCAGACCCTGTGGGTTTTAGCCTGAACAAATTGATGCCTCTCATGTTCACCGAAACCCATTGCATAATGCACACTGCTCACTTAGACTTGGCCTGAGAATGGATAATTCGGCTTCCACAGAAGGCTGAACTTATCCGGGATATTTGTGGGAAATGCTGCTTTTGCTTCAGCTCTCTGGATCTCTTATTCAAGTGCTGTGCCTGTGACTACATTCTCCAGGTATGCTGAGCGTTTCTTCAGGAAGGGACGGAGTGTTTTCATGTACGCTTATTAGCTGCAGTTCAAATATCTCCCTCAGTGAACTGAACAATGGAGAATGTCTGCATTTGTAGATACTGATTTTTGAGTAATAACAATTATTGAAGGCCTTCTGGTACTAACTAAGCTTCTCCTATTGAAAATACGTTGCCCACTCTCTTTCCTTTGTCACTGAAAAAATCAAAACAACTCTATTCATTTGTATTATGACAAGTTTTCCTATTATAACTCTCATAGAAGCTTGCACTTCTTTATATCACTCAGCACAATCATAATTGTACATGGTATGTGTATATGCCTAGCTACTGTCTATCTTAACCACGAAATGTTAATCTATATGATGGCAGAAACTCTGTCTTTATTACTTACTTTTATAGCCTCAGTGTCTCTTGTAGGTTCAGGCACATACTATATGCTTTTTAAAATATTAATACATCGATTAAATGTTTTCCAACTCTCAGGAGATCTTCCAAGTGTTTTATATGAATTAACTCATTTAATCCTAAAAAAAACAATTATGTGGAATCATTATACTTATGCCCACTTTCACTAATAAGAAAATAGAGGATCATAGATGTTAAATGACTTGTTCAAAACCATACAACTGCCATGGGGGTAAGGTCAGGTTAGTAGAAATATTTACTAAACAAAATGGATAAGTGAATGAATGAAAGGAATTTTGTTCTCACTGCAAAAGATTAAATTGGTCTAGATCTCATAGGAAATTAGGGCTGATGTCTTTCTTCAGTTGCAGCAGATGTTATTAAATTTAAAGCTTTTCCTACAAGTGTACTATTGGTTTATATATTACTATTATCTATTTAGCATCTAATTTTAGACAAGCATAGAGATCTTTCTTATAAAAAGAAATGATTTAAAAAGTCTCTAATACTGGAAGGCCAACACCACATAACCTCTGAGAATGTTAATTGTACATTATTGAGTGTATAGCTAGTGAATCTTTCAATAATCTCGCTGATTCCCTTACAGTTCCATCAGTTAAAACAGGAAAGATTGAGGAGACATTTTTAGACATCTAAAACTCAATTGACTACTCTACCTCTATCCTATTATTTTTAAGAAATGTGTATGTTATTGTTTCATGAATGATTATATTTTCCCAAAAGGTTAACATGAATAACCAAAAATGAAGTAACATATAGTGTGTAATTGGATCATATGTGCAACCAATAGAGGTATTTTGTTTTTTAAAAGAATTTTTTTGCAAGAAAAATTTTCCATGTTAATTTTTCTTTTTAAAATGGAAAACAGAACCAATTGGCTAGTATAATCATCTTCTCAATATCTTTGGAAAGTGTCAAAATGTTCTATTCTCAATCTGTATAACCTTAGATGCTTAAAGCATATGGCCATATAATTTTTATGAATTGTCATCTAGAAATAATTTTAAAGATTTACTTGTGTACACATAAATTATTTTAAATCTAGATTTCTAAGAACAAATTATGTAAATAATTTTGGAACCAAAGTTTAATTATGAACCTTTCATAATAAGGTAAATTAAATAAGAGTTGAGATGGTTAACCATAGTAATTTCCTATGTCACCTACAGTAGTAAAATTCATCAAATAATTTTCTCATCAAATTATTTCCAAGTCTCTATTTGACTTTGTGTGATCTTGACCTAAAATTGAATGCTTTAGTTTTCACTAATTTTTTATTGATAACTGGTTTCCACTTTTCTCGATTTAGCTTAATACAGTCCACACTATTCCAGGAAACAAGATGGATTGAGATATACATAGGTTGTTATACTGTAGAATCTTCATGTCCAAGGAGCATTAGTCTCAGATTTGAGTATTTGCAAGAGATCAAAGGTCCCTGGGTTAAAATACATAGTCATTTTGCTGAGGCAGTTGAATCATGAGCAATCAGGCTGATATTCAGAAATGAGTCTAGCAAATCACACAGCATCTTTAGCCAATACATTTTTTCAACTCATCTTCTGTTGCGGGGAAAGTACTTTCCTGGAGGTATGTCTTGATAACATCAAGAGTCTAATGAAGTTCAAAAAATGGAATTTAGTTGTGATGATGGCACTTTTTAAACATCAAAAATAGAAAGGTGATTTCAGACTTCTGCCTAGGATTCAAGTGGTAAAATTATAAGTACGTCAACACACTGAGCCTATTTGATAGAATACAGGTTACAATCGGCCCCCAGAACAACTGCCTGCTCGATTCATTGAAGCTGCACTCCGGCAATGGCTATGCGCTTAAGCTTTGCTGACTTGCCTTGAAAAATTGTGTAAGCAGCTAGTTCGGTGAAAACCCTGTACTGATGAGCTCTCCAGGACTTTTAGAATGACCAAGCACTTTATCAACACAGCACTCTGAAAGGGAATAGATGGCCTGACATGCAAACTTGTCAGAACAAACAGAATGAAGAGGGGGACAGCCTGGGTTAGTTATAAAGAGAATGCCTGACAACTGGAGGAACAATGTGTGCTTTATTTTCCACCCCCAGCTTTATACAGCGTAGCTGTAGGCCATCTTTCCATGGCACATCAACTTCTGGCACCAGGGAAATAATATGTATGAGTTTAAAGAGATGTCACGATTTGACTTACGGGACTGAAAAACTATCCTTGTTAAGAATTTGCGCGGAGTTAAGGAGCCAGAGTCATTTAACACTGCTAGCTATCCTGCTCTCATTTGCTTTAGAAAGGGTGCCTTGGTGAGACAGGCCAGACGAAAATCACTGTAAGGAACACATCTTAACGAGCGTGCTACAGTCCAGGTTGCCTGTTTCTTTGTCCCACTGATACAACCCAATATCCACTTGTTATCAAGTACAGCCACACTTTGTTCACAAATTTATCTCATTTTACTCATTGACCCCATAGGCACTACTTTTTCTAATGAGTGTTAGTGTAATGATTTGCCTTCTTTTCATTTGTTTTCTTTTCTTTCATATTTTCCTTGAGTTTCTGTTCTTTTAGTGTCTCATTTACCCATCTTTCCATTTCTCTTTCCTTACCCTGCTATATTGCTTTTTCCTCCCAGTTAAACTGCCACTTATCCAATTAAACATCAAATTAGGAGCACCTGCAGGTACTGTATGTGCATGCATTTAAATTTTAAATTGATTGAACTGAGTTTAGCAAGCAATATATTCATTCTTTAAACATATTTGACATAAAAATAATATCCATTAGTTCATTCAATATATACAGAATTCCTACTAGGTGACAGTTATTATTCTTACTATTAGAGGTATTACACTGGATTACATTCCTGTGCTCATGGATACTCCATTCTGGAGAGGAACTGAGACAAGGAACAAATCAATATGAAATACAATGTAGGTAGAAATAAATGGCATTACCGAGACCAGGGCTCCTTCTTTATATAAGAACTAGAGGCCAGGTGCATGAATTCATGCACCAGTGGGGTTCCTTGGCCTGGCCTGCGGGGATTGGCCGAAACTGGCTCTCCCACATCCCCCAAGGGGTCCTGGATTGTGAGAGGGCAGTTCTCAAGTAAAGCACCCTGAATTGGGCTCCCTTCTCTCTGGTTCTGGGTGCGTCACCCAAGAACTGCAGCTGCCAAGTCACCTCAGCTCAGCAGCTCCTGTGTTGAGAAGCACCCTGTGGGCTCCCTTCTCTCTGGTTCTGGGTGCGTCACCCAAGAACTGCAGCTGCCAAGTCACCTCAGCTCAGCAGCTCCTGTGTTGAGCATCTGCCCCCTGGTGGTCAGTGCGCATCATAGCTATTGGTCAGCTGGTCGGCCGGTCGTTAGGCTTTTATATATAGATAGATAATCATGCAAGACTTCTCTGAGGAGGTGACATCTGATCAGAATGGGAAATCAGCTTTGTGAATATCTAGGATAGAAGCATAAAAGTGAGCATGCTAGGTATTTTTGCAAAATATCAGAGAGAGCAACATAGAAGGGTCAAAGTAAGAGAGGAAATGTATGATAGGAACTAAAGTTGAAAATGTAATCATGTAGGGCCATGAAAAATATAGTCTTTGAATTTTATTATAAATGAGATAGAAAGCCAAGGGTAGGCTTAGTTCAGGGTATTAACATGATCTGTCTTTTATTATAAAAGGATAATTCTGGCTGCTAAAATGAGAAGAATGAGAAGCAGGAGGCAGGGAGACCATTTAGGAGGTTACTGCAATGGTTCAGGTGATGAATAGTGGGGCTTAAATTGGGCTGGTGCCTTGTCCAAGTGCAATGAGGTCAGATTCCATTCTAATTTGGAAAGAGGAGCTGCAGGAATCTACTAATGGATTTTATGTAGCATTTGAGAGAATGAGAAGATGAAGATTAATCCAAGGTTTTAGATCTGAGCTACTGAAAATATGGAAATGCTATTTAATAGAAGCATGAGAACTGGACAGAGGAGGCTTGGGATGAAATAGCAGTGGTTTGGGACATGTGAAGTTTGAAATATCAATTCCATGTTCTAGGTGAGGTGCTATGTGGGCAATAGGATATTCAAGCATGTTTTTCAGTGTGATCAGGTAATCACTGGCTGCCAGCTTAGCTTCTCCTCTCAAACATTAAAAACACAAGGCTCTATTGTTTATAGAGAAAAGAGTTGCTTTTTCCCAATAGTCTTGCAAATTCTTACTATTTATTTGCACATATACATCTGCAAGAAAAAAAGTTTTTAATTGTTTCCTTATTACCTACTCAGTCTATATTATACAACTAAGCATTTTAATATGACACAGCCAGGTCACTCTTCCTAGTAATATTGGTGCTTCTTCACATATTTCTCCCCAAAACCTGCGTCTAAATGTCCAAGCAGATTTTGTACTAATAAAATAGGAAGCACAATGCTGAAAATATGATGAAAGAAATTAAGGTTTCTTTGTGAGAGTCCATTTACTTATTTTGATGATATACTTCAGTGCTTGGCATTAAATAAATTATTGAGTCTACAAACTGCTGCACAGGAAGAACATGGGTTAGAAATTAAGAAACTTGATTTCTTGGGTTCTTGTATTTACTTTCAATTATACTAGTTCTCAGTGTTCCCTTCTGTAAATTGGTAAAGATAATACCTACTCTCTATCTCTGGAAAAAATCATAAAGTAATAAGAGCTATGAAACATTAATACTCTATAATATATCTTATTAATTATGTTGCTTATAACTAAATATAGATGGCATAAATATTCTCTCTTTCTAAGCAACATTTCAGAAGAATGTTAAAATGATTTATCTTTCTAAGAGCACATTCTTTCCCTAAGAGAAATGAACACATAACATATATTATTTGATCCCTTGTCATATGTAATTCACTTCATTAGCTATTTGGAAAACATGCGTGAAATAAACATAGTTCTCACCATTAAGGAATCAAGAATTTGAGGATTTAAAATACTTACTATGTGAACAAATAATTGCAGTACAAAATATTATGAGATAAATTCCACAAAGTGAAAAAAGCAAGAAATACCAATGACTAAAAAGCAATTTATATCCTCCCTGTACCAGCTTATAATTCAGAAGAAACCAAATAAAAACATTATCCAAAATGATATCTAATAGGCAATCACTTTCCTTCCAGAAGCATGCAATTTGATTACCATCTTTTTAACTTATATGAAGATAAATGTGGTCTATGGTCATAGAATTGCCTTAATGTTTGAAGAATCTATCCACATTATTCAATGATATTACATTCTGTAGTAGTATATTCCATAGGTTGATGGTGCACTTTGTTATACCATTTTAGTTTATTTGCTCCATATTTACTGGCCTTCAACTCTAAGTATCCTTTTCCTCTATTATTACTATAACATGGTAATAGGCAGAATTGATTCATCAGCTATCATCATTCATTTTAAGATGCTGATCTTTTTGGCTGTATTGACTTATGTTTTCTCCTCTGTTATAGCAATGAACTGCTGTTACACCCTTGGCTAAATTCATTGCCTTGCTAAAGTCCTCTGAATGGAAATCTTATATTTAGGGGAGTGTAACTGAAATAAAAATATGTTCTTCCCACACAACCCATTGCAGTAATTCTAAGTGCTTCCAACGCTTCTGAACAAGTGAAAAACATCAAGAAAAGTATCCAGTTGTTTGTTTGGTCATTGAATACGATGTAATCTGGTGTTGCTTCCTTAATAAACAGTAATTAGTCCTCTGAAACCTAGGTAATTTAATGAGGTTCAAAAATATAAGGTATCTATTAAGTTTAATCTGAGATGGTATTGAAATCAATTAGGAAATATTTATATAAACTCTTTTATTATGCTTTAATTTATTCTCTTCATAAAATTAGATTGGATGCTCAGAGGCAGCAACACTCCGTATTTGAAATCCAAGGATTTAGAGCAGAGTGTTGCGTGACTATTGATGTGAAGTTGGGAAAACTATTTATCTTCTCTGTGCCTCAGATTATTTATTTCCAAAATGAAGACAATAGTAACTAGAGATAGGGTGAGTGTTGCAGGAGCTATTATAAGTAAAGGGATTAGAAAAGTGTCTCAATGTTATATTTCATATTATTTTAAAAAGTCTGCTGGGTATCCTGAGATTGAGTGTGATGATAAACTAAAAGAAGATCCATTAACCCACTTAATTTACACTAACATTTTCTTAGTGAAAAAGTAGCAAAAATGTTTATATTTCAGATATTGAGATATGCTTTATGTGCCAAGTTAAGAGTTGGAGCTAAAAATCTGAGATAAATGTTAAAAATATACATTAAAGCTCACTAAAGGGTACTCATTTTGAAATGTAGAAAAATAAAGGATCAAAAATAATAAAAGGGAAAGGTCTTTAATTATTAAACTCTTTGCCATTTTCAAAGGACCTGTTAAACAATATATTTATTTCATTTCTATGTAAAAAATCTAACCTGACATTATGATCTGAAAGTTACAACACAACTTTAAAAATAACTAAAAATCGTCTCCAGCTTTATTTCTCCAGTGAGATTTGGTTATAATTGGCTAAGTCCTGCATGGCATACAGATGTAATTTTTATTTACTGAACTTTTGTTAATCAGAATAAAACTGCCTCCCAATTTAGAGTTCAATTGTTAATATACTTGCAGGTTTTCCTCTTGTATGACACACTGGATTTTGCCCTCTGCTTCAACGGTTCTTCTAACTTTCTTTACTTGAATTTGACTCTTGAACTTAGACAGCACTTCCTCCAGAGCATCTTTTCCTAAATACATTGATTGCTTTAGTGTTTTCCACCTGTTTTACCCTTACATTTTAATACCAGTTCCATTTATCATATTTTATTAAAATTACATTATGCTTAATCACCTAATGGAATACATACACCTTTAATGCAATGATTGTTTGCCATTCATCTTTTCCACACAGTAAGTGGCAAGATGTTCACATGAGGTAAGGGATCAATGAATTAAATGTTTTTGATTTTGAACTAAATTAATATATTCTTGTTTTAAAATTACATTTCTGAAGTGAATTATTAATAAAATTTGAGACTCAAAAATGAACCCAGTTTTCGTAGTTTTTTTTTCATGTTCTATATAAAAATTCTAAGAAGCTGATGCTAAGTAAATAAAAATATATTTAGAACTATTTTTAAATACATTTTTATTGATGTCAGAGAGGAAGGGAGAGGGGGAGAAAGAGAGAGAAACATCAATGATGAGAGAGAATAATTTATCAAATGCCTCCTGCACACCCCCTACTAGGGATTGAGCAGCAACCTGTGTCCTGACAGGGAATGGAACAAGTGACCTCTTGGTTCATAGGTCAAAGCTCAACCACTGAATTTATCAGGTGCCTCCTGCACACCCCCTACTAGGGATTGAGCAGCAACCTGTGTCCTGACAGGGAATGGAACAAGTGACCTCTTGGTTCATAGGTCAAAGCTCAACCACTGATCTGTGTCCTGACAGGGAATGGAACAAGTGACCTCCTGGTTCATAGGTCGAAGCTCAACCACTGAGCTATGCCAGCAGAGCTATTTAGAGCTATTTCAATCCAACACTTGAGTTCCTTTTTAAAGTTACAATTCAGTTGTTTAGTTCAGGCATGCTCTTTTTACTCCTATAAATATTTCAAGCATTAATCTGTACTGGAGTTGTCTTACATATGTACTATAGAGATCATCTAAAAACAAGTTGCACTGACATTTTTTTTTTTGGCTCTAGAAAGTTCTACCAGTATTTGGTAATTGATATTGTTATTCTCTGCGGTGCTTGTGATGAACAAAGGGAGGGTCTGCTGCCGGGTTCTTCGGGGGCCACAAGATGTTGCTGCGACTCCCTTATACTAACTGGGCTCTTATCTGGGTGCTGGACCCTCCCATTCTTGTAGGACAGCAATTTCCAACCTTTTCCATGTCATGGCAAGCATAAACTAACTACATTCTGTGGCTCACCAAAAAATTACACTTTTGCCAATCTAACAAAGAAAAAATGTATAATTTTGATTCACTTACACAGGATGGCTATTATGTTTTGGCTGTTGTCATTTTCTTTCTTTGACAATCTAAGGGAAAAGAGGCCGGTGTCCCCCTGACTGAAACGTCAGGTATTTCATGTTTAAAAATTTTTGCGGCACAGCAGTGTGCCTGCCATGGCACACCAATTGAATATCTCTGTTCTAGGAAAATATATTTTTTTTCTTGATTAGAATTTATGTTTGGGGCAAGAAAACTTTTGTATATTTGCTATACATTGATACTTAAATCCTTTAAGCCCAAAAGACAAAATTAGATGAAAGAAACATATATATTTATAGTCCATAAAGGTGGAGCCAATGCAGCTTTTCCAATAAAATAAAGCTCTTTTTCAGTGTTCTAAAATTTTTTAATGGCCAAGAATTGCTTTCAACACTTCCGAAGAAGTGAAAAAATATCTAGAAAATTATCCAGATATTCTACACCGCATCTATATTCTCCATGGCTATCTCTAGCACCAGTGAATTTGTCAGATCCTATTTTCCAAATAGCAGAGCAGCTTCCACTGAAGGCGTGCTACCTATGATCAGAGGACAGACCAACATTCCCAAATATGGTATATACTCATCTGACATCCAAGAGAGCCCAAAAGCAATGTGCTTCTTAATTATTGAAGGATTGTAAGGTACAAACACTTATTCTTTTCCGTTGAGGAAATGTCCCAGCATGCACCAAACCACTCCTATAGGTTGTACTAATTAGTCAAACCCTTGATTTTTCAAGGTTTATCACTCTGTTTGGCACATATGTATCTTTGAGGCCACCCAAGGAACTTGCCATATCTTACTCCGGTGTAAAATTATATGCTGTTATTACTATTGGGGACCAGTGAGATGTGCTGTAAATGGCAAGATAATTAAAGTGGGTGAGGGCCACTTCAGTCTGACGCAGTGGTTCTCAACCTTCCTAATGCCGTGACCCTTTCATACGGTTGCTCATGTTGTGGTGACCCCCTACCATAAAATTATTTTCGTTGCTACTTCATAACTGTAATTTTGCTACTGTTATGAATTGTAATGTAAATATCTGATATGCAGGATGTATTTTCATTGTTCGCGACCCACAGGTTGAGAACCGCTGGGAGGGTTAAGGTTCAAAGTTCTTCATTTTCCCCCAAATTCCAAGGATTGCTAGATTAAAAGATTAAAGAAATTGAAGTACCTTTTACAATTTGTTCCTTTTAGGTTATTTTAAAATCACAAGAAGTCTTCTAGGTAAAGGGGGCAAATTGAATATACCCATGTATTTTTCCATCTATTAAAACTCCACTATTATGACAGTAAAGGAAAATTTCAATAACATTAACTAACAAAGACAATGTGAGAACTATATAATGTAAAATGTTTGATGATGAAAAGCCAATGCTTGAGGGTAACTTACTTTAACAGATCCAGGAAAGATGAATTCTGAACTGAGAGAGCAGGAACCTGAGCACTGAGAGGACTTACATAGCATAAGAATCACAGGCTTACTGGTAAATACTGGTAGCACTAGCCACCACTGGAAATACAGGTGAGCTGAGCTAAAAAGGAGAGGATTTCTTGGAATCTACATAAGAAATTAGAACCTCTAGTCTCCTCCCTCTCTTAGTCAGAAAATCTGAGGCTTAATCACTAAACAGGGTGTAACAGAAGGATCATCAGAGAACAGAGGAGAGATACAGGGAAAGAGTCCCAAACAGAAAACAAGATGATTGAATTAACGTTTGCATATTAAATATTGAGACCTTACTCTTACCTCACTTGGCTCTCCCAATGCTGGCCACCGGATTATTATTCTCCAGGAAGGATACCTGAGTATTTTCCCTTGTAGAATACATCCAGCCACAAGAAAGTTTTAAAGGTATCACTATTTTCCCTAAAGAAATAGCACTGCTAGTTATCTAACAAAAATACCTCAATTAAAAAATCATCCCTCATTCTCAAAGTTTCCAATAATTTTTATAGAGATCCAAGGATCACAAAACACCTAATGAGGTCCCTGAGATATAGAAAGAATTAACATGTAGAGAGCAGATATTGTACAAGAAAATAATTTTAAAAAATAATATTAATATGCACTGCTGATGTGGCTCAGTGGTTGAGCATCGAGCTATGAATCAGGAGGCCATGGTTTGATTCCATTCAGGGCACATGCCCAGGTTGCAGGTTTGACCCACAGTGGGGGGCATGCAGAAGGCAGGTGATCAATGATTCTCTCTCATCATTGATGTTCCTATCTCTCTCCATCTCCCTTCCTCTTTGAAATCAATAAAAACATATTGTAAAAAATAAAATTACATTAATATCATCAGATAGCTCAAAGTTAATATTTTAAGTATTTAAGATAAACATTAAGAGATAAAGAGTTTTGAAAATTAAAAACATGATAGTAAATGTGAAAAATACAATAGAAAATTTGGCAGAGTTTGAGTAAATGTCTCAGAATTTAGAGTCAAACCAGAGAAAGAAAAATTGGGGAACTTTTAAAAGCATCCAATATTTCAGTAATTGCAGTTCTCGCAAAAGAAAAAATATTGGAGGGGATGAAATTAATGAGAAATTTTAAAATTTAGTAGAATCAAAAATGTAAGTTTTAAAATTAAAAGGGACTATGAAGGGCACAGAACAACAGTTGAAAATTGACCAACACCAAGGAAAATGCTATTGCAAAATTTCATAACACGTGGAACAAAGAAGAGATGCTATGAACCTCTAGAAGGAGATGGCTAGAAAATACAACTAGAGCATAATGACTATTTAGCAGCAGCAGCAATGGATTCAAGATCAAATAGGACAATGACTTCACAACTGTTAGAGGAAAAATGGCTTCTACTCTTGAATTTTATAAGGACAATAACTCAAACACGTATGAAGTAGAATTAAGATATTTAAAACATTCCAGTTCCCAAAAATTTATTTCCCAGGTTTTCTGTTACTGAGAGCAAGTGAAGAATGTACTTCATCTGTGTGATATAATAAAGGCAAAGTAACAACAAGAAATACAAAAAACAGAGGCACAACTTAAGAGAGGAGTTAAAAAATAACATGGAAGTTCAAAAAGTAAGGAGATTCCATAATGAGGAATTGTGCACCAGGTGTAAAGCAGGATCAGTACAGATTAGAGAAGTCCAGCCATCTTTGGGAGAGATTTCACAAATAAGACAAAGTTCAAAGTAAGAATATTCCAGATGATTCAGTGAAAAAGTAGGCAGTCCTTCTTATGCAGGTTTCCAATATGGACACATTTCAATGATCACAGTTTAGTTAAATGACACAGTTCCCTAAGACAAGATTCAAATTGCAGTTATCACAGCATAATGTAAAAACCCCACTTCTAGCTCTTCTGTCCACAAGTGATTACATCAATAATTGATGGAGATCATGATTAGTAACCAATAGCATCACTACCATTCAAATAGCGTTGGTGATTGGTCACTGCACACCCGTTATTCAGCTTATGCACAGACAAAAAAGTGTGTAGTTATCTTGCCTCCTTGTCTTCCAATGATAAACAAACCCACATGACATTTTATAAGAATGAGTCATCAAAGCAGGTAATTGGAAACCGAAGATGAAAGTGAATATGTAAAGAGAAAATGAACAAGCTGGAATTGTACTTTGAATCAAATATAAATGGATTATAGAAAAAAATAGCTAATCATGAGAATGTTGACTCAGCCATTGTTTAAGACACTAGATATGCAGCCATTGGAACATAACAAAAGAGAATTTATTGACATAAGTGAAGAAAGCGGTTGAGATGAAAAGGATGAGTCAGGGGAAGTGATGCTGGTGAAAACTTCACAGTAAATGAACCCTTGGAGATGTTGTACAACATCCACAGCATTATGGGTGACATTTTCCTAGCTGACCAGGTTTGGAAAGGAGGAGGATGATTCAGAAAGGCATAGAAAAGATGTTCTGTCTGGATGATATATTATATAAGAAGGCAAGCACTGTTCAAGCTGCTCTTGAATGCTTAAAAAAAATTCTATTTGTAATGTTTCTAATGTTGTAAACTAATATTAGTTTTGCAGTTTTCATTGTCCTATAGACTTATAACTCAGAGTAAAAGTCTTCAATATTTGTTTTGACATTACTCATGGTCAAAAAGTTAATGGTCACAAATGAATTGTAAGTTTCCCATTGTTTTTTAAGATAGCTTTGAGTAGCTTCACATTGTTTATTAAGATAGCTTTGAGTAGCTTCACCTTGTATGTCCATTTGTATTGCCCATCACTGCCATGCTATATGAGGACTGCCTGTCGTCACTAGGAATTGTGAAATTAGTAGGCAAAGGGTTAGAGGACTGCTCTTCTTTGTAATAAGATTATTTAATTTAGTAGTGTGCATAATTTTGCTAAAACATATAAAATTTAAAAAATATATAAAGCTATTTAAACAATTACAGTGAAAGTCTTATGTAATATTGTCTTGGGACAACAGAGATGATAGAATTTTCTATAGGCAATATTTTTAAAATGAAAGAATGAATGTATGAGTTATTCAGCAGTGTCATAATGCATTTCAGTTTTGTATTAAGTTTCCTTTAATGTAACTCATGTTATAATGATAAATGTAATCATAATGGTTGATAATTATTGAATTTGTTATGTGCAAGACAATAAGATATGAAGTTCATGAGTATTATTCCATGTGTTACTCACTACCCCTCTATGAGGTAAATAATATTATACTTATTTTTTTCAAACTAGAAATCAATGCTTAAACTTTCTGAAAGTCACGGGGTAATTTTGAGGGTAGAGTAGAATTTGAAACTAAAAAAATCTACTTTCAGATACTGTGCTATTAAACTTTTAGTTTATGATCCCATGCAATTGCTACTGTGCATGGTGATGATGGCTGTTCTGAAATGCTAATCTATCTGAGAGTTCCTGGGGAGGAGAGAGGGGAGGACTTTCAACTTTTTCTAAGAAGGCTATTTATTTGAATTTATACTAAAAATAAATTATTTTGAGAAAGAGCTAACAAGTTTGGTTTGCCATCACTCAGTTTATATTCTAGCCTGATAATTGACCAGTAAA